CGCTTAACCGACATGCTTGTGGCAGAGACTATGTTACAATTATCCTATAAATATTTTTTTTTAGTCCAGTTCAGTAAGAAGAAACTAGCTAAATTATCTGACTGTTCATACATGGATACAAAACTAGATTATCATCATTAATGTAAATGGTAAGTTAGATGTCAGATGTACTTTTTATTCTTCTAACTTTACCCTTATGACTCCATAAAAACATTTGGAATATTGTTGATGTACCAACTATAGAAGATTCTCACAATAAGGGATGATGAATGTTACGTTAAGAGATAGTCCAAAACCTTCCTTATTCGGATACCTAGGTATAATATGGTAGCCTTTAAAGAATTCTCCTGACTACAGGTTAAGTGACAGACTCTTATATAAAATCAAACTTTGAAGAATGGCCACAAGAAGGCACCACACTAAATTTGTCCGGTATAACTTGTCATTAAGTTGAGGAATAAATCCGATTATTCCTAATATATTTTATTTTCATGCAAGTCATATGGCTGAATTTTCATTACCGGCAAACATGGTCTTTATGTTTCATAAGCTAGTAAGTTATCTAGAGAGCTCATATGGAGTAGTTTCACAAAAATTATAGATAATGAGGTCTTAAACAGGCATGAATGCCATGTTCATATTTTCTATTAGAGCATACCTTAATGTATTTAATTTGGCTCAAAAAAATTGATGACCATCTATTTTTTCCATTTATTATATTGAATAAAAATAAAAAAATGTAATTAAGACCGTTCCATCCATGCACTCATTTCGAACTCATTTACTTTCTAATTTTTTGGAAATTTATCACATAAATTTTATCCAAGAGATCCAATAGAGTTCCACATAAATTTGAATAATTAAAAGAATAATTCAATAATCTATTTGAATCCTTTGTAAATAAGAGTGATGGTGTCCACCTACTCTTAGACAACATAAAGTACTCCTATCTAGTAAATAATTGAGCTACAGTCTTTTCGTCATTGAAGGCTCCACGCTAGGTGCTTGCTTAAAACCCACACACCTTTTAATTGAAATTTCATTAGTCTTAGAAAATTGATGAACTGTTTCAATCTGGGGGTTGCTCAATGTAAAATATCTCCTTAAACTCTCATCCATGTTTCTAGAAAGAACTCTTACATCCATTTGATTAATTTAAAACTTTTTTGAAACCAAGTCAAAGGGCTAAGAGTACCCTTATGGCACTTCTAGTTTCTTAGCTAACAGGTGGGCAAGTATTCTTCATAAAATTATGCCCGTCTAATCTATGGTTATTATTCCCTTGGGCTTACTATCTACGGCCTTCATTTTACTATGTCCATGAAAAATCATTCACCTTTATTTTATAAAGTCCATTTTGATTCATGCTTTTATGTGTCTTGACTAGTTCCAAACATCATATATTTCGGTAAAAAATCAGGTTCAATTCTTCTTGAGCTTTTGCTAGGTATCCAAAATTATCTCCTAAAATCTTTTTAGCTATATTAAGTGTTTCGATTCTAATCTATTAAAGAGAATTATGATTATGCTCTAACATCTCCTAAGTACTAAGAAATGAGCTCATAACATTTCTTCACATACTGCGAAACTCGGCTTCTCACACTATAAATTATTCTTTAGCGAATGACATAATATACATATTTACATTACTCTTGAGGAATCTTACTTATGAAGCTTATTAACTCCTTCATCTGTTCTCCTTTCTTTTATGGTTCATAGTTTTTTACTCCCTGAGTTGTCTCTTTTATCTTCTTCCAATTTCAGATCAGAGGGTTATCGGCTATTCAGTCAACAAACTATTGGGTGTAACTCTTTTAGCTATCTAGGGTCTCCTATGAAATGATCTTATTAATAGGCTTTCCACCATTAATAGATAGATAAATACCCTAAGAATGACACCTACTATCATAGAACTTGGAGGAATCAAATTTTTCCTAAGAGACAGTTTGACCAATTAAAATTAAGATGAAAACACTTATGTACCACCTATAAATTGACATTGAAACGGTTGAAAGCGATTCGGTGTTCTATAAAATTCCCCTTAAGAGTTCTTCATAAGGAGTTTTATTCAGCTTTGATCTAATGTTCACCCTATTTAAGACATAACACGCCATGTTTACCGCTTATGCCCAACAATATCTAGGAAGGGTGTACTCAGCTAACATTGCCATAGCAGCTTCTACTAAGGTTATATTCTTTTTTTCTGCTATTCCATTTTGCTGAGGAGTTTTAGGGGCTGAGAATTTATGCTCTATACCTATCTCTTGGCAAAATGATTCAAATTTTTCATTTTAAAACTCTCTATCATGTTGACTATGGATTATTGAGATTTTATATCCTAATTTTTGTTGAATCCAAGTGGAGAAAATCTTAAATTCCTCAAATGACTCATTCTTGTGTACTAGGAATCTTACCTAAGTGAATTTAGCGAAGTCATCTATAATTATAAATCTATAAATTTTCCCACCTAGGTTAGCTGTGCTAACGGGTCTAAATAAGTCCATGTGAAGGATTTTTAGTGGCCTAGATGTGTTCACATCTTTGATTGGATGAAAATATGATTTTATTTGTTTTCCTAGTTGGTAGGCATTGCATAAATGGTCCTTTGTGAAGTCTAACTTAGGTACACCTCTAATTAGATTTTTTTGAGTGATATTTCTAAGTGTTTTAATACTAGCATGGCATAATCTCATATGCCATGACCACGAGTCATATATTATTATTTTTAAGTACAGTGAATTTGAATTTTCAATGCAATCAAGATCTAATATGTAAACATTGTTCATTTATTTTCCTTCTAAAATAAGTTTGTCATTTAAACTAATCAGGCATTTATCGAAAAGAAATTTTATGTAAATAGAGGAGATGACAACCAGATGTGAGATCTGTCAAAGGAATAAATACCTGGTTATGTCACCAAGAGGATTACTACAACCGTAAGCTCTACCGGGAAGATTGTGGAAGGAGATATCTATGGACTTCATAGATGGGTTGCCCCACTCAGAGGAGTTCACAGTGATTTTAGTGGTGGTGGACAGACTGAGCAAGTGTGCACATTTCATTCCTCTCTGACACCCTTACACCGTAGTGAAAGTAGCGTCAGCCTTCATCAAAGAGATGATTATATTATACGGAGTACCAGAGGCGATCGTATCAGATAGAGATAAAGTGTTCCTCAATCACTTCTGGAGGGAGTTATTCAGATTACAGGGGACAGTTCTCAAGAGGAGTTCATCTTACCACCCATAGACAGATTGCCAAATGGAAGTAGTCAATAAGAGCTTGGAGATGCACTTGAGATGCTTTGTGTTAGAGACACCCAAGCTATGGGCTAAGTGACTATCATAGGTTGAGTACTGGTGCAACACATCTTTTCATTCTGCTTCACAGATGACCCTATTCAAGGTGTTGTACGGACCAGATCCCCATACTTGGTGCATTTTGGGAGTAGCAGCACTCTCATTTTTTCAATATAAAAGTACTTGGAGGAGAGGGATTGAGTGGTAGAGGAGTTGAAAAGGCATCTACTGAGAGTTCAAGAAATTATGAAGAAACAAGCAGAAGGACATAGGAAGGACATTCAGTTTGAAGTGGGGGAGAGGGTGTTCTTGAAGCTCCGATCATATAGACATAAGACAATCGCCAATATGAGGAATGAAAAGCTAGCTCTAAGGTACTTTGATATTTATGAAGTACTATAGAAGATTGAGATAGTATCATATCGACTGAAATTACCACCAACGATGATTTTACATCCAATTTTTCATGTCTCGCAGTTGAGGAAGGTCATTGGTAACTACACAGCCAACCCCGAGCTACCACGAACTGAGAATTTAGAGGTGATTTTGAAACCTTTAGAGCTGATGGGGGTTCACTAAAAAGAAGATGAAACTAAGGAAGTGTTGATCAAGTGGAAGAACCTCCATGATTACGAGGCCACGTGGGAGCCATACGAGAGGGTGAAACAATGGTTTCCTTATTTTCACCTTGATGATAGGTGATTCTTTGAGAGGGCGGTATTGATGTGTCGCCAGTTCACCCTAAACTAGTCCAGCCGGCCCAAGAGCCGGTTCAGGTTTATAGGAGGCGGAACTTGTCTGCCTCCCTTGGGTTTGGTCGGCCACATGGTGGGCCCCAACTTGCCAAATAGCTTTGAATTTCAAAGAGGAGTGGGCGACTAAGTGTTAGGAGGGAGAATAGTTTAGGAAAGTTTTTGTATTAAGAGGGAAAGGAGGTTTAGGAAGGATTATGTTTTGTTTGATTGAAAATTAGGGTTTCTTGGCATTTGGGCTCTTGACTCTCTTGTCTAGAGATTTGGGAGAGACGATCCTCCTCTCGAATTGAGGATCTCTTGTATCTTGCTTTGTGTTTGTTTCCCTTTGTTTTCTATAAGACATTGTTATCCTTGATTGTTCTTCCACGACGATTTCTACATTTTTCTCGCTGTTTTTATCGATTATTGTTAGGTTTGCTTGCGAACTAAAGTAGACCCAACATGATTACTTGAGAACTCAAGTATTTCATATCAAAGGAAGTAGGGGTAATTCTACCTTAAGACAAAGAACTTAAGTACTAAGAGTATCCTAAGAGAGATATTTCATCTCATTCAAAAATAAGGTCAATTGCTTATATCTATGAGTTTTTAACTATGTTTTATGTGCTTGATCTTGATTGATTTAAACTCGATGTGACCAATTTTGATGTTATTGGATTCATTTCTTCGAGCCAATCATCTTGTTAAAATTAGAATTTGGATAGTTTAGAGCTAAATTTAAAAAAAAAATCATACTATTTTATATTGAGATTAGTGTATTAATCATTTTAGTTTTATTGTTTAATATTTTAATTTTTTTAAATATCTTAATACAAAAATTTTCAACTGATTTGAGGAAGCGCGTGCTGTTATCCTTTGGGTGATGGATAATATGGATGGCTCTGACAGGAAATGCTATAGTGATAGGTTCCTCAGCCACCGGACACGCTAACATGCGCTGATATCGTGTTACCGTGCACCTAATTTAATCCTGCCCGCCATCTCTCTCTCTCTCTCTCGCTCGCTTGTAGCGCAGGTGCCCATCAATAATATACCTGAAGAACCTTTGCTTCGATGCTATAAAAGGCCACGGCGGCCACCTCTTCCTCTCTCGATATCTCTCTCTCTCTCGTCGAAAGAGAGAGATATTTTCTCTGCCACGTCTATTTTATCTGGGCCCTTTTCTTTGAGTTTGGGTGTAAGGGTTTGGGTTAGGGCTAGGGTTTTGGGCCGAGAGATGTGGGATGCTTGGATCGCTTATGAGGTTGCTGTCGACGTGCTGGTGCCCACCCGGCCGTAGCAGTACTGGTGGAGATATTGATGATGATGGTCAGGAGGGGCTGCTGTGGTTCCGGGACATTGGGCAGTGTGCCGGTGGGGATTTCTCAATGGCAGTGGTGCAGGCAAATCAGGTGCTGGAAGATCAGAGTCAGATCGAGTCAGGGCCATTTGGCACTTTCGTCGGTGTATACGATGGACACGGCGGGCCAGATGCGGCGCGCTACGTTTGTGACCATCTCTTCAGGAACTTCCGAGGTGATCCGTCGTCATTGTTGTTTGCTGATGACTTTTGTGCTGCTCCGATTCTCTTGTAGGGACTGTGATTTAGGGTTGCTGTTATGCGGACTTTGGCTGGATTTGATGCGATTTGAATGTTTAAGGGCTGTTTGGTAGTCTATTTTAGGTAGGATTTTAGCAAGATTTAACATAAATTCTGCAAAGCAGTATTTAAAGACGTTTAAATCCCTACTTGCTTGATAAACCTTGTTTCAATCCCTGTTATTGATAAGCATTTCGCCAAATTCAGTGTCTGCCATCGTGGTTCAAAGATTTTACAGGTTTCAAAAGGCTAATGGTGGGAGGCTGCTTGGGTGAGGAAGAATAATTAAGATTGTTACCCTTCTAGTTTATTAGGATTGATGCTCGTGTAGCTTTTATAGTGGATGTATTGAAAGTAGTGGAGTAAGGATGATCTATGTAGTGTTATCCACGTAGAAAAAGGGTTTATGTGAAATCCAAGCCATCGTCAGTCGTCACTGTTCATATTCTTTCTCAGTACCTGGAAAATTGCGATGAGCAAGCTTAGGGTAGATAACCCATTCAAAGCCTTCTGTCTTGTGGCTTCATGATACACTAGTGGCAACCCCGAAACTTGGCTCCACTTGATAGAAAAATTCTATGTATTTAACTCTAAAATCCTTCCACATAGATGGGCTAACATAAGAAAGGTATCAATGATTCACTAGATGGCAAAAACAAAAAGTTTAACAACATTTGCTCCGCAAAACCACTGTTTGCCATTGAAATAAAAGGAATTGAAGTACTAATTAGCAAATCTAATGTGATAATGGTTATCCTCAGAGTATCAATTGTAATTTAACAACTTCTCAATTAGATAATTGGAGTGGATCAACTATTTTGTAAGACTAGTTTTGAAATCATCTTATAAATAGAGATTCATAAGGAGATTCAAATTCATTGACCCAAAATATTAGATCAAGTAGGGGTGTAAACGAGTTGAGGAGTCACTCTTGGATTGAGCTTGAGCTTGATTAATTAGTTGAGTTCGAGCTTGAGCTTTATTCTACGAGTTCGAACCGCCTCATTGGCCTGCTCGTTTATTATGAAAGATAGAAAATGATTATTATTTAAGTAATTATTATAATAAAATGATAAAATAATGATAAATTATAAGAAAAATAATAAATAATTACTTAATATAAGAAATTGTCATATAATATTTAAATATTTTTAACAACTTTGTATTTAAAATCTTGAATCATGATATATTTTAAGTATATTTTATATTAGTAATTTTGAACGAATTGGCTCACGAGTTAGCGAGTCGTGTCTGGGTTAGCTCAAACTTTGCTCATTAGCTCGTGTCTGGGCTAGCTCAAACTTTGCTCATTAGCTATTCGAGCTCAACTCACAAGTCATTTATCGAGCTGAGCTTGAGCCTGAGCTGGCTCACGATTCAACTTGAATCACTTACACCTCTAAGATCAAGTCATTGAAGTAGCATTTGAGAATTAATGGTATAAGTAGTATAGACATCCAAACAAAGACACTTTTTGGTAAAATTACTTGGCTATGATTTCACCATTGAATATAACTTAGGTAAAATAAATAAGGCTACTAATGCCTTATTAATAATACATGGACGCATCGAAGAGCCCTAACCAAACACAAGATTGCTTATACTCATCAGTACCATTATTCCCACTTGATGGATCAAACAAAGAACGAGCTTGTAACAAACTCTGGGATGGTATGTGTTGACAAACATCCAAAACCATCAAGTTGAATATCCACAATGCGCTGTCGAGATGGTTTAGTTAAAAAGAATGGAAAGGTGATGTTAGTCACTGATCTGACATTGAAAATAGTGGTGTCCTAGGAATACCACGCTAGAGTGGTTCGAGGACAAGAGGGAGCAAAAAAGAGAAAAAAAGCTTCATCGAATGGCGGAACACTTATATTAGGATGTCTAATAGTTTATCCAAAGTTGCTCAATTTGCTAAGTGAACTTTATAAACTGCAATATTGCTCAAGTCGCCTTTTGTTCCAACTGCAAATTAAGGAGATATTGCATTAGATTTCCTTATGAAGTTATCAACATCCACTATGGTCATTGTTTATGGACTTACTAAATATGTACTCTTTTAAACCTTAACTCAATTAAGAACAATAAGGGTTCTGGCAATATTTATCTCTGTGTACAAACGCCATGAGGTGAAATATAATAATCTCAAATTGCAATGGGCTGTTTTTGAACAATTTTTGGGAGTTAATTCAAGGTTCTTATCACAAAGCATTACAATTAGTGCCGACATTCGAATAGCAAATAAATTCAATATAAAGAGTAGAGAGCATTAATTATCCCAAACATGTGGATTATGCCAACATTCAAATATCAACCAAGTCCAAAATGCCTAAATCGTCACATGAGTTATTATGTCGGGCTTGAAATCTAGTAAAATCCGGAGAATAGTGATAGACTTTCATGTAGTTAGTACCTCGCTAAAAAATATCAACATAATATTCTAGCCACTAAATCAACAATTTTTTTAAATAAACATGAGATTGGACCGAGCTTTAATCATCATAACCTTAAGTGAAGGCATTAATAAAGCATTGGTGAAAACAATTGTAGATTTGCAAAGTGAATAGTTAATGGGAATAGCAGCAGGTTCTCCAATAGGTTGACAATTGTTTGATCCAGGAATAGCTCTTGGTTAATCAGATGATGACTCAAATAGGGAGTATTACCAATAACATTAAGTGAAGGCATTAACTAAAAAGATGAACATCCCTAGGGAAATAAGGTAGAGTAGGCAGGACCTATTTTATTGAAAGACCTCATTTAAGCATGATTATTAATAACACAATAGTTTAATGTGTCCATATTATCTTCAAAAGAGCCAACTTCAACAGGTGGAATCTTGGAGGATGATTTCCTTAAGCCTAGTTGAACCTTGAAGCAATCGATAAAATCATGTTAAAGAAAAACAAACTTGTTAGATTTACAATGTGAGTTATAACTTTTAAATCCCAATTTTTGCCAAAAACCTTGGGATGAAGTGATGATCTGTACTTTCTAAGCTAACGAGGTAGAAATATCCATCTCAACGAGAACACATGCGATAGATAGTAGAAAGAGTCTAGCAGTAAACACATTCACCTGTAGTGGTTTGCCAAAAATTGAATCTAAATAATGTATTGTGGATTTATTGATGTAGTAATCACTTGCAATAGAGACCACTTTAAAATATGCATTTTAAAGGCATTTGCATAATAGGCACTCCTAGAGAACATTCTATAATAATTTTCTTCCAATGATAATTTGATAAGCACATGACACTTGTCAAGAAATCTAACAGAGTAATCACTTGACAAATGAAGCTCAAACATGAAAGATCGAATCATTTCAAAGCTTGGGCACCAAAATGAAAAATTTTCAATAAAAGAGTAGGAGACTGGAGCAAGCATATTAGAAATCTTTGCCTCTGAAAATAAGGTTATTGTGAGGAGCAGCGGTATGCTTGTGTCACACAGAATTTGGGTGGCGATGAAAGAATAATATGAAGGCAAGCGGTGGTAAGGATTGAGAGGGGCCTTTGGCCATAACAACATTTGCAAAAGAAGAGGGAACAATAGGCTTTGAAGTTTGACTACCAATGCCAAAAGCAATCCGACACGAGGAATCAACAGCTACCTTAAATCATCTAGAGATGTTTGACGGGCATGCAATAGCAAATTATTGGGTATATCCATCAAAGCCATGGAAATAGGTGTTGCAGAAAGCCCAAATAAGATGACGATAAAGTATTAGAAGTGGCAGGAGAAAGCTCTAGTTTAGAGAAAAAAGGACTGTAAGTAAACCTTGCCATGATCCAGACTTAAAAGGGAGATCTCTAACTCGGTAGTGGGCACAGTAATAACAAAAATTCACTTGTTGTATGGGGTGAGTCGCCGAAGGAATAGAGACCGTTGGCCCAAAATAGGAGAGGACGTTGTCGCTTTAAGTATTGAATTCCAAAAGACTTGACAGCATTCAAGATTCAACAGACAAGGTCACATGGGTGATCTAAAGGAGACGCACTTGTGACCAAATATGTGAGAAAGATTGTAGGCAAGTGTGGAAGCATGTGTCCGAGAAGCAGCCACTAGGGCACATCACCACAAGGATGATGGTGAAGCTTGAATGTTCTAGGATGGTGGAAAGGTTGTCAGAGTGTGTGAGCTCGACAATGGATGTGAGAAAGGGTTGTTGGAAGCACAAAATGGTAGTTTGGGTTTAGAATTTTCCATACATGGTTTGGAGAGTTTGTTATGACCAAATTTGTCAGTGTGGTTGTTGAAGTATAGCTTGTCTTGAGAAAGCATATAGTGGATGATGCGGTCTGTTAGTTTATTGTTGAACTTGTCTTCTTGAATGAAGGAATTAAATTGTTGTTTATGATTGGGGTTACTTGTCATCTGCCTTATATCGACTCTTTGATTTGCTTTTTGTTTGTTTCCCAGTGCAAAATTGTGTTCATAGGTAAATGAACATTTAGGAAGTCAGAGATTTTATTTTTATTTTGGTTGGTTGGATTTTGGGCGTGGGGTGTTTGCAGTGGTTTTCTGCAGTTAAGCTGCTCAACATCCTTCGTGTATCAATTGCTCATTGATTGACCTAACCCATAGTGCTTGGTTCTGGCAGTTATAATTTTGGCTATTTTTCTTGCCCTTCATTAGCATATATAGAAAACCAATTCATGGAGAATATTTAATTTATTTGCATATGCTTGTACTAGTTGCCATCTTCTATTATGTTTCTACTTTCTATTTATGCAGAGATTTCGTCTGTATCTGGGAGTGTGACGAGTGATGAAATCCGGAGGGCTTTTTTAGCTACAGAAGAAGGATTTATAGCACTTGTTTCACAACTGTGGAACTCTCGGCCTCACTTAGCAACTACTGGCTCCTGCTGTCTCGTTGGATTTATCAGTCAGGGGACTCTCTTTGTTGCAAATATAGGTGATTCCCGTGCTGTACTTGGGAGGAAGATTGGTAGCACTAGCGGTATTGCTGCCATTCAGCTGTCTACTGAACACAATGCTAACGTTGAAGCTGTGAGGCAGGAACTGAAGGCACAGCATCCAGACGACCCACAGATTGTTGTTTTTAGACATGGTGTTTGGAGGGTCAAAGGCATCATTCAGGTCAGTGCCTGAAGCGTACTATCTTTAGTGTATATGTTGATGTTCAAGATTTTTTCCTTGTAACGTTGATAGCATTTATGGAATTCATTACTTAGTATTCTTTACATTAATCAAGATTATGCCTTTTTCCCTTTTAATTTAGAGACATGTATAATATATCACTGAACCCTTCTTCCATGTTCCACCTAATGCACTTGATGCAGGACTATATGCGAAATAGGAACCTTGCACAAAATAGTTAAAGAACAATTTTGGATTTTCGTTATTAGCCACTAAAACAACAAAATGAAACTAATAAGTGGTCACTTCCGTTTAGGCTAAGCTAAGCAAGAGACTAAACGAAATCAAAACATTTAGAGAAATTAAAGCATTGCATGCGGAGTAGTTTCCAACATAACCTTGGCCTAACAATGAGATCCAAAGGCAAAGAAGTAACAATCCTACGATTACTAGTGGATGGCGATTAGTAGACACAATCTCTTGCTAGAACAATCTCTCTATGAGGCAAGTAGAATTTGAAAGTAAATGAGTCAAGGAAGAAGATCACCTCCTCGGAGGAACGTCTTGATTCACCTCGTACCTTCCAATAGTTGATCCTTCAAAGGCTTGATCAAATCGAACATCACGTGATCCACAGATTTTCCATGGATCCGTCGATGCATGGACTTACGTTGATGAACGACAATTTGAGAAGATCCTTGATGCCTTGGCCGTCGTATGCGAAGCCGGAATCAAACTCTGGATCGGTCAAACATCATAATCATGTGAGGAGAGAACACGAGATAGAAGAGGGAGAGGGTTGACGGTGGGGAGGGGGGGCCGGCGGCTTGTAAGGGGGGAAATGCTAGGGTTAGGAAGAAACTAGGTTGAGTGGAAGTGAAAATGTTCTAATTCCCAAATATGAAATTATTCTCAGATTTGAGTAAGAATGGAGGGAAAATAATTTGACTTTGAATTTCAAATAGCACGCAATCAAGTCCCTTAATGGAGCATTAAAGGAAAGGGGCCTACTAAGGGGGCCGGTAGCATGGTGAGAGGAAGGGGGTTGGGGAAGAGTGTTATGTGTTTCCTAATCCGCTCCGACTAATTAATGATGAAAAATTTCAAATCCGTTCCAATTCAAATTTGAAAATTGAAACCTCATTGAAACTTTCCTAATTTGGCATCGGTCAAATTTGGAAACTTTCAACTCATCAAATTTTTGAATTTCAAATTTGAAAATACGTGAGGTGGCGGCAAAGGAGCCGGTGATTAACGGAGAGGTGGGGGAGTGGATGAAGGGGAGGCCGGCGGCTAGAGGAAGTGCCGGCGGGATGATGGTGAGGGTCGGGTTTTGTGATTGGGATGAGGGTGAGCTTTGGTAGGAGGGGTTATTGGGTGGTGGTTGGTGGTGGGGGGGATGACCGGCGGTAGGCGTTGGGTAGAGGGGAAAGAAGGAAGGAGGATAACCAAGAGCCACCGTTGGTGACTGTTGGGTACGACGGGTGGCCTCTCCTAGGCTCCACCAAGCTCTCAATCTCTCTCTCAAGCTCTCACTTAAGCTTCAAGAAGACAAATGCAGGAAAATTTCTTAATATTATTCATTAACCTTGAAAATAACAAGATGAAGGCTATAAATAGCCTCATACAATGACCTAAAGCAAAAGGACTCAAATACCCTCAATGGGCTACATGACTCAATCCCTCAAGCAAGGGTAAAAGCGGAAAATACTGAAATAAAAAAGATTACATCAATAAGTAGACAATAATAAAATTGTGGCCGTTGATTTACGGCCACGTCGACGGTAGACTTTCCAACCGATGTCCCCATCAACACTCTTCAAGCCGTCATAATTACTAAAGTTCCTAGCACTTGTCATTATTGTCAATGGTAAAGAAAATCTCTTAAGAGTTGGCGTAAGACTGCAGTTGATTGCATCGAGTACCTACATACTTGAGGAATCAAGGTTTGGTGCCGGTAATAGGTCCTTGTTGTGTTGGTAGGGGTTTTATGTGATCGGTTATGATGTCAAACTATAAGAGAAGAAATGTTTTTGTATTAATCTTTAGGAAGAAAAGATATTTTTATAGTTGTAGTAATATGATGAGAATAAAATTTAGAAGCCGTGATGCGATATATTGAAGTTATGAACAAAGGCAATGAAACATTAACTTAGAAAAATCGTGTTGATATTAGTGAATCAAATTAGTTTTTGTTAGATCTATTATGTAGTAAATTTTTTTGCTAAGAGAACAACGGAAGTATTAATGCAAAAAATGATTTTTATAAGATTTTTGTAAGTGTTGATAGGTGCATCCAATTGTGTCCGTAATAATTGATTTGATAGAAATTGAACACATCAACATTTCCCTTGTTACTTTATAGTCGGAGGCAAATGGAAGGTCTGCTCACCTCTACTTGTAAATTGAAGCGCTCGATTCCCTCTTTTGATTTTTTTTTATTGTCAGTAGGAGTTGCTTGAACAACTTTATAGTATTAACTCTTGAACATTTACTCTATAGTGACGTGAATTCTTTCTGCTGTTCTTGATTTTCTCCATTATTGGGAGATGCCCTTCCTTTCCTCTATAGGTGATTATTAATAGATGAGGATTTTGAAGCAAAATAAGTGCATATGCATAATCTCTGAAATCCTTTGGTTAACTTAGAATTTGTTAGTGCAAAAAATCCTCAATCATATATTTATAATTACGAGATATTACTCTATATATTTGGAGGGAGGCAAAAAATGATGAAAAGTTTTCTCCATAAATTTAACAATATATCTGTAGAGAGTTTTTTGGTGTCTGCTTTGGTGATGAGTGATGAGTGCGACACTTCTAAATCGTCATTCACAGGTGTTAAATGAGGATTTGGAAAACCTCAACTTTTTGATAGGTACAACTTTAGTTAGCATGTTTGCAGGGTTTACTAATCCCTTAATCTTGCTCAGTGATAAATTGGCTTTTTTGAGTTGTCTACGTTAGTGTTACTTTAATTGTATGAATTTTATCCTAGAGTGGAAGAGGATGTTTTTTGTTAGGTGAATTGAGGTTTGATTATCATAGAAGATTATATATCCCATCTATGTTTTCTCTATTTCTTCTAGAAAACTTTCAAGCTTAACTATCTCTTTGTTGGCTCAATGACGGTTACATATGCTACTTCCATTGTCGAGAATGCAACAAATCTTCTATAACCGAGTCTTTAACACCAATTTGCTGGTAGTGCCACCCAAGGTATAAATTTTCCCAATAATACTTCTCCATGTATTTAGATATTCTTGTATATCCGCATTTATTCTCCATGTATTTAGATATTCTTGTATATCCGCATTAAGGTATTCTTGTAGCTTTATATATCTTTTTTAAACTTTAGTGCGTCTTTGATTACACTGTTCAGGTAGCTTAAGATTCACTTTACAACTTCATATTCCTTTTTAAGTGTTATGCGTGGATTGTTAGCTCTTACTACATGTAAAATATTTGGTTTTGTGCAAAATATTTTATACATCAAAGAGCCAATTGTTGAGGCATAGGATACTGTAGTCATGTAATGTTTCTAGTGATTGGAGAACCTGAAATGACTTGCAATGGAATGCTCATCATCCTTGCTTGATTCTTATTAAATTTGTCCAACACTTTTTCAATGTATTGAGATTTGTATAAGTTCAAGTTACTTGTAGTTTTGTCTTGATTTATACTCATAATGAGAATATTTTTGACTTACCTATGTTCTTCATATCAATTTTTGTTGACAACTAATCTTTTCATTTTATTGATCTTCTTGATGTCAACCCTTGCAATTGACATGTTGTTAATATATAAAAGCAAGATGTTACAATCTTTTTTGTGCTTTATATATAATAGTAATGATTAACTTTGTATCTATGAAGTTAATCTTATGTATTTAGCCTTCAAATTTTTGATATCATTGGATAGTGGCTTTCTTCAAGTCATAGATGCTTTTATCGAGCTTGCAAACTAGAAATTTCTTTTTTTACAACAAATTCTTCAGGTTTAACTATATAGATTTCTTCATCTAGATAGCCATGGAGGAAAGATTTACTAATACCCATTTGTTGACAACACAAGTATTCTGTAGCTATGAAGCTCAACTGTAGTTGTATAGTTACTAGTTTAGTCATTGGAGAAACTTTTAGCGGAATCAGCATTTTCCTTATGTTAGAAGCCTTTCACTATATTCTTATCTTGTAGATTTTGTGCTTTTTTTCTCATCCAAGATATGGGTGTCAAAACGGGTCGACGGGTCGGGTTTGGGTCGAACCCGACTTGACCTGGGTCTAAACAGGTCAACCCGAACCCGACCCGACCCATGCGGGTTGCCAGGTTGACTCGAACCGCGACCCATTTGGAAAATGCCAATCTGAAGCCAGGACAGAGACGACTGGGCGAGACCAACTGACCGATTGCGGAGTGCGGATGAGGGCCGCGACTCACGAGGCAAGCGGCGTCCGGGGCGGGGGCAAGACTCGAGGCGAGGGCCACGATCTTGCGAACCCAAGTCGCGAGGCCTGCCGCCTGCGGCGTGCACAATCTTGCGAACCCGAGTCGCGAGGCCTGACGCCTGCGGCGTGCGCGATCTTGCGGCGGCCAGGCGAGGCTAGACCGTTGAGCACGAGGTAGGGCCGGAAATCGAAAAAACAGCTAGGCGAGGCCAGCGCAAAATCTTGTTAGGTCGCGCAGGATCCGGGTTAAACGGGTTGATCCGCAGGTTATCGGGTCAACCCTAACCCGACCCGTTCAAACGGGTCATTAATCTGAACCCAGGCCAATCCTGTTTCACAAACGGGTTGACCCGAACCCGGATTTTTTGGGTTGGGTTCTGGTCGGGTTTTCGGGTCGTGCCAAAAATTGACACCCCTAATCCAATAATTTTTAGATCCATTTATGTTTTATTACTTTCTTATCTTTCAGTAGCTTATTTAATGTCCATGTGTTGTTTTGTTAAAGAAAATTCGTCTCTTTATTTATTGTTAGTTTTTACTTGTGTGAATTGTT